AGATAATCTTATAAAACAAATTCTCCTCAGGGCGCACCTTTGAAATTAAATAACAAATGACAGTAGAAAACCTAATTCTGACGTAGCAACCTGAACACCGTAGCAACCTAATTCTTACTGCAGCAAAAAGAACTTCATAGGCTGCATAAACGCTTAATCGGGCGAGTCGGAAATGTGAAAACGCATTTATATTAAAAAAACAATATATTTTTTAAATATTTTTATGCAGTTGCATATGAGAAATTTGCAATCATATTTTATAACCAAAATAAATAAAAAATTTCTCTCTCGTTTTCATTTCTTATATTTTTAACCTGCAATGGATGATGCCATCTTCTCCAAACTCAGAAATACACTCTATAACAAAAAAATAGACGCACCAAGAAAGAGTTGTCCGATTGAATCGAAATTTGGTGGATAGGAAGACAATGTGCAGAATAGTAAATGATTAAAATTTCAGAACAATTGAATAATGTATTGGTATTGCAGAGTTACAGTAACAAGTTCAATAAGGTGTTGACCCGCCTCTAGCCTGGATACAAGCTGCCACACGGCGTGGCATAAACCGATAAAGGTCTCTTGCGGTATTTCCTGCCAAATTGAATCCAATTGTCGAACGAGGTCATCAACATTCCGTGCCAGATGCAATCGACTTTCCATCATATCCCAGACATGCTCGATGGGAGAGAGATCTGGTGATCTAGCAGGCCACGGAAGAGTTTGACAAGCTTACAGACAGTTCATAGCAACACGTGCCGTATGTGGTCTGACATTACCCTGCTGAAAAAACAGTCCAGGGCGCTGCAAAAGTAGCGGTAGCAAAACAGGTCTTAGGATGTCGTTGACGTACCGCTGTGCAGTAAGTGTACCTCTAATGACGACGGAATGGGTCCGGCTGTCAAATGAAACGGCACCCCAGACCATAATGCATTGTTGAGGGCCGGTGTGGCATGCGATAATGAAGGCAGATCCCCCTCTGCCCTGTGCGTCTCCAAACACGTCTTCGATGATCGTCAGGACACAATTGGAAGCAGGATTCATCGCTAAATACTATATGTCTCCAGTCGGCATCATTCCAGCCTGATCGAGCGTCGATTTTGCGCGTCATTAGTGCGTTCTTGGTGCGTCAATTTTTTTGTTATAGAGTGTATTTATAGTTACCTTTGCATGCTTCAGATTCAATGTCGTATTTCAAATCATTATCGCATATGCATTCAGTGACAGTCAGATTTAAGTTATAACCGCATGTTGCTCCACTTCCTTCTCTGCACATCACGCTGTTTTCACACTCAGTTACTTTTTCACATTGATGTCCATATGTTCCATTATGACACTCGCAAAAATAGTAATTACCGATATTTGTGCACTCAGCTCCATTTCTACAATCAGTTCTGCCATTGCATGTTTCTGAAAAAATGAAAAGTTTTAATCCCTACTCAATTCGAGTGAAGTTCCCTACTTTACTAGACAAACTATACTTTACTAGACAAATAAAATGTGACAATATCTTGTAAACCAAGTATTCCTAAAGTCAATAACAATTTAGAAAATCAATAAAATAAGACGAAAGGAGAAGAAAACGTATGGCTTTATAATATTAAATCCTGTCACTAGATGACGGTGCTGACTGGAAATTACTATAAAAAATATCCTGCACCAAGCAAGACCATTAAAATTTTAAATATTTTGCATGGGTCCTGAAATTTTTTGTCTTCAGACAGTGCCACGCTCTTGTAACAAATAGTGCCCATTTCGAAAACATAAATTTGTGGGTTTTTCTCGTCATTAGTATAAGTTTCACCAGTTGGCAAATTTTTTCATAAAATTTGAAACTTAGAGAGTATAAATCATGAGGTATTCTAAATATAGTAAGGAAAAACGAATGTAATCTCATCTCCTTCGTGTTTACTTCGATTGCTTTTTCCATATCGTTGTTATTTTTGAGAGACGTAGTACTTAAAATATTTTTACTGTACATGGTTAAGTTTATTCGAAAAAAATGCCTTTTAAAATTTGAATTAGACAAGACCAAACGAGGTTCATTTTAATAAGCTACATCCATTCTGAAGAGCGCATTTGAAGCCAACACAAACGGTCCAGCTTTACCCCAACTGCTTTAAGCAAATTTCAAACAAATAAAAGCGAATACTTAAAGAAAAACAAAATTAAAATATTTCAGTTGTAAAACTGGATTAAACTTCTTCGTGGAACAGTTAGGAATGTTTATAAAATGCAACTATTTGTTATTCATCCTTATCTTACTGTTTGATTGCCCAAAGCGATTGGGATTCATTATTACTCATAGGAGTAAAAATGCATAAGTTTCATGGAAATTTGCATTTTGATATGGTTTCTGCTGATTGGAGGAAATGTAAGGAGAGCAAGGGCGAGCCATTGCCATGACGTAAGCGAATCCGATGGATTCTTGACCGGGAGTGGGGATGTTTTTGACGTATTTCAATTGACTTTTTTTTCCAAGCTTAAAAAATATTTTATGACCCCGAGGTGTTTGCATTCATACTTTCTTTTTTGATACGTATTCTAAAATAAATCATTAATCATGCTCTTAAATACACCGAAGAGCCATTACATTATAACCAGCCTGCTAATAACATATAGGACCACCTTTAGCCATCAAAACTGCTAACACTCGCCGTGGCATTGATTCCACAAAGTGCTGATAGGTAGTCTGAGGTATCTGGTACCAAGCGATCACCAACTAGTCCTGCAATTCCCTCACATTACGAGGGGTAGCGTGGCAGCACGAATTCGGTTTTCCAAGTAGGACCACAAATGCTCTATTGGATTAAGGTCAGGTGAATTCGGGGACCAAGACATGACGAATGTCACTGGAATGTTCCTCGACGATTCGACCTTTATGGCATGGTGCATTATCCTGTTGGTAAACACCATCCCCGGCAGGAAAAACTGTTGCCTGAACCTAGTCTGCAACTATGTTCAAGTAGCTGACGTCAAGGATTGTTCTATGAGGATTATGGGTCCTAAGTTGCCCCATGAAAACATTGTTCCTGCGTGAGAAGTCATGAAAACCTGGGCGAGCCCATTGTTATAGATGGAGGGTGGTCATAATGTAATGGCTCTTCGGTGTATATTTCACTTTCTGAAAAATTATCGTTTAACTTACCCCTACACAATCCACTTTCAATGTCGTATTTCAGGTCATCCCTACACATACATTCAGCGACATTCAGATTTCGGTTGTACCCGCATGTTGCTCCACTACCATTGCGGCATGTCAGTATGTTATTATCACAATCAGTCACGTTTTCGCATTTGTGCCCATATGTTCCAGGACGACATTCACAGAACTGGTAATTACCGATACGCGTACAACGAGATCCTTTTTGACATTCGTCTCTTGAATGACACCATTCTAAAAAAGTATACGATTGCAAATTTGTTTTAATCACCACAGATAGAAGTATAAGTAAATGTTTTGTGAAAAAATATGCATATTATAGTTTTGTTAAGTTTATTTCATCTATGCATGATTAATTTATGTTGAAGATATCCGACAGGTCCCTACCTTCTTTTCTTATAAAAGGCGTAATTAATATTTCAATTTCATGTTTGGTGAGAATGAGCCCTAAAATTATAAGCTTAAAGTAACGTTTAAAAATTTACAAAAAAATTTTTAAAAATATGGGCAAATTTGAGCCCGAAAACTAAAAAATTTTTATGTCATGCTAACAGCTCTACAACAAATTGTAATACATAAATTTCAACAGAAAAATTTCTAGATTAATAATGTCATTTCCTGCGTTTTACACTAAAATATTTAAAAATATATGTAGAGAACAATGAACTAAAACTAAATACATTGTTTAATATCGAATTTTTAAAGAAACATTTTAAATATTCTTAGTCAAAGCTTGATATAAGTTACAATTAAAACTTCGACTTCAGTTTGCAATTCAAGACTTTCTCTAATATTATACAAAATCTGCATCTGAAATTTCAGGGAATTCAGCCGTAAACTTTTCTTATAATGAGTGTTAGCGTAAAGAATTTTTTCTCAAAATTAACGCTCTTCAGAAAATGCAAGAAAATTCTGAAATGTAAGACACTTTTGACCACAAAAAAATTTATAACTGGAAAATAAATTTCTGAAAATGCACTAAAAATATAATTAATCATCTTTCCTAAATGTGCCTTAGAAATATAATTTATTCATATAAATGAGGGTTTAAATACTCAAAGTAAAACAAAAACATTTTAGTTTCGGTTTCGTCTGTCAGCATACAAAAAAACATCATTTCCAAAAATCAGAGATAAAAATTTTGAAAGGAAAAATTTTATATGGACCAATAAACTTCAATTTAAATATTAATAAAAAAACTATTTATTAATATTTAAATAACTTATTTTCGTCAAAATCGCTGATTTTCACCAAGTCGGATACCATAAGATAAAAAGCTGACATTTTTTTAACCAATTTGAGAAGGGGAGTGTTTCACCGAAAAATACTCGGTTGCGATAAAAATTAACCGAAATGCAGTATATGAGCTTTCTTGAAGCATATTCTATCAGTTTTTTTTTTCTTCAATAATATCTTTATTGTAAATTCCCATAAAAAAAAGCCGAATAATTGTACCTTGTATCACTTATTACCAGATGTAAATTATCTAGGGGAATATTTTTTACCCGGAAATTAGTAAATAATATTTGTAAGCTCCATTTAATCTAAAAATGTCCTCTTTTAATGGTCAGACATTTAAAAGAGAGCTATATACCGAAAGGGAAACTTTTCATGTCAATTTTTTCCATCTTCATAGATAATTTAAAATGTAGAAAAAAAAGTCAGTTCTGAGAAAGCAAGAGAAAACTATAAAGTTTTAAGTTCCAATAACTTAGTCAGGAGATCGGTAATTTTAATTTCTCTTTTTGCTTATTTTGTTATATCTTAAAGTGATTGCATGTCATGATGTGTTATAACGGCGGTCACTATACAAAGCTTCCTTACTCTCCCTGGACTTGGTTGTACAACAATGGTGGTTTTGGGCAACTTTCTGAGAACCCAGAGCTCCTTAGTTTGAATTCTTACGGAAGATATATCTCACACGATTCTCCCTCCGCTTATTTTTGATATTATGCATTTTTGTTCCAAAATGATAAAATTATGTTTCCGTTTTGACCAATATTTGTTTCATATTCGAGTAATATTTTGGAGTATTTCGACCCGATTTTTGATCAGATTTCTGAATTTCTTTTTTATAGAGTGTAGTCAATCAATTGGGAAATGTTCGAAATTTATTGAAGAATATGCCGGCAATTATCAGAAAATGATTGAAATTTGAATTCTAATACAGTCCCAGTTAAAGTTTAAACACTATCATGAAATTGAAAGAGATTCAAATTTCGAGTGGAATCAAATAAACAACTCGACAGATCGATGAACTTCTTGAAAAAGAAGAAATAATATATATTGGAAATGACATGCAATATAATAAATAAAAAATGCAAAAAAAATATCACAACCTCATATAAGTAACATTATATATCACTTGAAAATAAAGATTGTACTTACCTCTACATTCTCCAGTAGAAGAGTCGTATTTCAGGTCATTATCGCATATACATTCAGCTGTATCCAGATGAAAGTTGTACCCGCATATTGCACCACTTCCTTCTCTGCACGTCAAATTTTTATTTTCACAATCAATTACTATTTCACATTTGTTTCCATATGTTCCAGGGAGACACTCGCAAAATTGGTAATTACCAATTTTTATGCAGCCTGCTCCATTTTCACAATCATATCCTGTCTTGCACGTTTCTGAAAATTGGTAAAACAAACGATAAAGTTGTTTAAATCAGAACGTATTAAAATCTATCATTAGTAAAAATTCTAAAAGCCTTCTAACATAAATTTTCTTAATTTTAATGGATAAAATTATTTACAGAATGGAAATTGCATTATAATAATTGGATATAATAAGTTCAAACGTTTTTCTTGTTAATGAACTTCTTTTACGGGATTGAAGCAAGCACAAACATGAATTTTGAAAGTGATCTAAATATTATTAATTTTCTTCATCAATAAATTGACATTTTTAAATTGTTTAAGTCCCCCAGTAAAGCAATAAAGCGGCAAAATGACATAACTAGACTGACAATGACATAACTAGAATAGTTGGGATTTAATATCATCTATTTATTTGTCAACACATTGATGACGTAGAAGATTTCGAATGGAAAAATTTACCCTGAACTATGTGGAGAAAAAAAAGGGTGACTAGTTTGCCAAGTATAAATAATTCTGTTATTAAACATTTGAATTTTTTTTTAAATTTTGGCAGTTTCCAAATCACAATTTTAATGGTTGGAAGGAATAACCATAAACATGCTAATTAATTGCTGCAATCTACTGGCTCTGTGCTCTCTATTGCTGCAATCCACTGGATTGTGGCTCTTTCCAATATTTTGGTGATCTGAAATTTGAATCCATCTACAAAAATGTATGTTTATTCAGAGAAAGTCTGTTTTGTGTCTGATTTCATGACTTAAAATATTGTCTGAACCAATTAATTATTATATTTGATGTCTCCACCTCGAAACACTAGGAGTGAATCCTAGAAAGTAATGATCTGATCATTCATTCAGGGAGACAAATTTTTCAGGCAGACAACCCGTACTATTAACTGTACTACTTTTGTTGTTGTTTATACTGCTACTTGACAGTATCAGCAAACCTACTGAGTTGAACCAAGCAAAACTAAGGCAGAGATAGCGTTTCTTGTTTTTCTGGGTCGCCATGTATGGCGAAGAATACGACTTCTGCCTCATACTGGTCACAACCCGTTTATAGGGCGTACCCATTCATACGTTCATTCATTCATCCCCATATCGTAATTTTGACCAGAACCAGATAATGATCAATCTCCAATTCAGTATCCCCAGAGGCATAACATATTATGGGGACATGGAGGACTTTATGACCCGACAGATTGAGCTTGCACCAGTCACCATTTGCTACACGGGGAGTCTTCGGAAGGTGGGGACTGAACTAACGGCCTCTTCGACATGGGCTCAAAGCCCTATTAAAAAGGCTATCCCAGGCCTTTTACTACTTTTGCAACATTAGCTACAATAAAATTGTGAGAAAAGCAATTTCTCGTAGATTAATCAGTTATGGACATTATTAACAATTTTTACATATAAATGAGAAAATAAATTGAGACGAAGGAACATCAGAAAAAAATTCTTTACCTCTGCATTGCTGTACACTTGAATCATATTTTAATCCATTACTACACTGGCATTCTGTTTGCTTATTTATTACGTTAAATCCACAAAAAGCACCGCTTTCATTATTGCATACTAATGTTTCGTCAACACAGGAAGTCACATGTTCACATTTGTCTCCAAAAGTTCCGCTTAAGCAATCACAAAAACCATAGTTTCCAACAGTTTTGCAAGTACCTCCGTTTTTGCATGGTTCAGTTTCATTGCATGCATCTGAAAATAAAAATAGGCATATTTTTATCAAATTTCAGAGAAAAAAAAATTACTAAATTTAAAACTTTTCATATTATATACTTATACTAGGAGGCTCCGCCCCCTGCTCGCTAACGCTCGCCAACCCCCGAGAATTGCTACGCAATCCTATGTGGTTCACGCCGTGAACCATGGCTCGCTGCGCTCGCTCGCCAATGAACACAATGTTCTAGCACAAAGACATAATATATTATCATCAAAGACATAGTATTTTATCATCAAAGACATAGTATTGTACTTATGTAGAAGAATTCTACCAATGTTNTTATCTTCTTCAGAAAAAGTATATTAGCTATTTAGATTGTACATGGTGAAAAAATCAAAACATTAGCTAAATGAAAAACATATTAGCAGAATAAATTATCAAATATTGCAGTTACTCACCTATATTCAACTGAATGTGTATAATAAATTAGTTAATGCTAGAAATTCTAAAAGGTTTAGAAAAAAAATTTATTATATAAAAATATAAACTTTAAAACCTAACTTTTCCTTATGAGATAATAACCCTCAAAAAGTCTTTCATTTTCAAGAACACAAAAATTTGTTTTATCGCCAAATAAAATATTTTTTGGTGATCAGCATTATTGAAATCAATTTCTATATTAATTAACATTTGTGATAAAGTACATAACATTTTAGAACAAAATAAGGATGTTTTACATACAATAAATTAAAATGCATGGCTGTTAGCATTACCCGAGAAATAC